TTTATTAATGATAATTTTAAGATCCTATATGTATTAGTTCCTAAATGTTATTATTATTATTTTTTGCTATTATTTTTTATTTTTACAATTTTAATATTACGTTTAATAATAATTAATTGCTGCACCCCAAAGGGGTATGTATGTACTTATTACCTATGTAATTTTTGTACCTACATTGTTTGCAAATAAACAAATAAATAAATACTTACTTTGAACCACCGTCACACCCCGGACACTCCATACAATGGTCGACAGTTATTTACCTACTACTACTACATACAGCAAGGCGCTATCTGCACACGCGCAAATGTGTGCGTGAAGTGATAGGGTTACCCATCACTGTCTCATACAATTTCCGTTACGTGGTCAGAGCGGAAACAGCAAAAATTCTTAAGCGAACCTGTTATCTTTAATTATATTAAAAGAATCCTAATAACTACACATGTTCATTAGGTATTTATATCGATATAATATTTATTATATTTTTTATTAATTCACTAACTAGAATAACATTGAAGATTTATTTTAAAAAATTATTAACAGCAATTTCAAAGATTATATTGTGGACTGGTTTTAAATAAGGTAACCAAGGTATTTGAAATTGCGTGTCCAAGTTTATCGTATATTCACTACGTAATATTTATCGGCAATACAAATTGAAAATTCGAGAACCTTTGTCTACTAACTCACGAAGTTATGGCGTCTCATTATATTGATATAAACAGTAACGTACAATGATGTTATATATTAACGTACAAATTTCGTGATGAATGAATGAAAACTATGTTCAAATATCAAAGCCGTCTTGATGCGAAAAGGGCTCGCCGCCAGCCTTGTTGTCGTTCAGTCAATGTGACCGTCAATGTGCGGGGCGTGGTGTGGTATCTAAATCTAGAGAGGAGCGGAGAGTGTCAATTTTCTTACTTTTTTGTTCTCTGCCACCGTCTTCTGGCAAACCGCTATACCAACTATACCACGAAACGAACCAAAATATTAATGTTTGATTTTTTTAAATGTTTTTTTTATACTTTGATACCGCATGGACTTTGTGGCCAACCCATTACCTACTATAAAATTAGAAAGTTAATACATAATTCTGATAACTAACACAAAATATCTTTACATCTTTTGTTTTTTTTTTTCAGTATTTATAGTCAAATCCCAGTATATTGCGACCCGTGTAGTGGAAGGATCACCAACTACAATAACACTGTACCCCATAGTGGCCCAATTTCTTTTGGACCCGTGGGGCGATCACCAGTTTACACAGCATTGCGCTGGTGTGATCCTAACTTCTCGCCACATCATCTCCACCGCACATTGCTTCCAGTATAATTATAATACAATGAAAAAGTTAGTACTTAATCCAATGCCTAAGCACAGAGATAAATAATTGCAACTTTTTATATAAAAAAAAACCGACCTTAAAAATTCGTGAAATTACATCTATTTGCCAAGTTTCCTTTAAATCGGATCCATCCCCTAGTTTGCCACCCTTAGAAGAGGAATACTTTCTTCAAATTTAAATGTGACCTACAAATTTTGAAATATCTACACTAGAATAATATGAAATATTAATAAACCAGAAAACTAAGAAAACTACAGTTTAATTTTGTCTGTGTTTTACTTTTCTAAAATAATAACAAAACTAATGATCAGTGACTTTTAGATTTACTGCAACTTTAAAAAACTGTAACAACAAGACGAAATGCAGTGGATCTACTCTCGTTCTCTTTCGACATTCAGCCCGAAACACCTAATGAAAAATTTGCATTACTTAGTTAAATCAAAAGACAATGCCAAGTATGAAGCTTCATTCGCATCATGCGTCTTTTAATGCGGCATTTATTCGACACGAATTTCATCGCGCCCTGCACGGCAGCCCGCGCAGAACGAACCGCGTGCGGCTGTCGTGGATAAAATACGCTCTATTTAAATAAATAAAGCTAAATAGCGTATATTTCGCCTCGTGTAACTAGGCGCTAATGCTATAGCCACACAGAGGCAGCCGCGGAGGCGTTTCAGTGGGGCAAGGTTCATTAGAACTCGTACATTACAAAAATTCCCGCGCCCGGAACGCTTCCGCGGTCGCCTCTGTGTGGCCTAAGCATAATTGTTACGGATGTATGTCGAACAAGAAAGGAAGACCCCAAGACACCACTCTGTTGATGCATGCATGTATATTAGGTACCTAGAATTTCGAAGAAGATATTTTTCTAGTTTTCTCACTTTCGAATCTTCATGGAAATATTAGGTTAATCGTCGCACTAACGAAATTCGTAGTTACAGCCGTTTTCCCATTATGGATGACCTACCGGAACTACTCTCGAAGTCCGTCAACGAAAAGATGGGCTCGTATGAAACAGTCAAATCGCGTTGTCATGCATTCTTAGATTTAATTTCGATCGAAGCTCTACTCTGTAAGTCATCCGTACTGGTAAAACGGCCATAAATACGGATTTTGTGCTTCGTGAGTAGGGCCCCAGCTAACCACGCTATCCTAATGCGACTCAGCATTTCATGTCTTATATGAACCTTTATAGCGGCATACAGTTTCCACAGTGAAGCTTTTCTTCACAGTTCACTAAGTGACAGCCAAATCGTACATTAAAAGAGAACACTATAAAATACTTAAAACGTCGCAAGTTTTAGAAACTAACTTGGACTTCCAAGCGTCATGGAACAAAGTGACTGGATCCCATTATAACCGACTTAAAAAAGGAAGAGGTTCTCAATTCGTCTGTATTTTGTTTTGTAAATTACGCGATTACTCCATTTGTAAACCGATTTTGACTATTTTTGATGATTCTTTTTTGTTGGAAAGAGCTCCCATTCAAATTTGAAGATAATATTTCACTTCTATGGGTGAGAAATTAGGGGATCAATCCGGTTTCTTGGATTTCACACACTTTCCGTAAACCGATTTTGATAAAACTTCATAGACGTTAATTCTAATGAAAATAAAACACAGCGACAACGAACAAGCAAACTTTTCAGGTCATTTTTTTTTAATAAAAAGGTTGTAATTGTTTTTTATTGTATTAAATAATTTAACCTAGGGGACATTCCATTGTATATTAATTTGTATCATCTTTGGACATATACCCATCAGTGACAGCTCCAGGATTTCAATTGTTTTACTGGGACAACCATGGTTTCTTAGTGTTATAGGGCGTTGCACTAAATAAATTACATTGGTGTGAACCTACGTTAAGTATTTAAATTGTTTGGTTTGCTTGTCAGAACCTTGATCGCACCTGGAACCAACACTGGTCTGTCCGAGAACGCCTGAAATGAGAATACGAATAAAAACATTACCGATAAATTTTGCTGCTTAGTTTTTCTTCTGTAGCCGTAATTTTACCCAAATGTTTTGCCCAAAGACGTCCCTTATTTTTTTTTATTAACTACTTACAAAATACGTCGTTACTTTTTAGCTTAAGTATCATGTATTTAAACTTTTGATTTGCTTGTCGGGGCATTGGTCTCTGTAGGTACTATAACATTGGTCTGTCCGAGAACGCCAAAAATTAGAATATGATCAATAACATCACAAACCTAAATTTTACTGCTTAATTTTTCTTCTATATCCGTAATTTTCCCCAAATATGTTGCCCAAAAGCGTTCCCTGTTTGTTGTTACTTCTATCTGAATAGTGTTGTATTAGCTATATACTTATAAAATAAGTTATAACTTTTCAGCTACACGAATCCAAAGTACTGGAGAATCCGGGTGGGTTCGTCCTATCGCTCTTCGGGAGGTGCCATATACAGCCTTAAGAAAATCATAACACATCCAGATTTTGACAGATTTTATTACACCAATGATGTAGCTGTTGTAGTTGTGACTAAGAAGTTTGCCTTTAGCAACAGTGTTGCGCAAGGCACGATAGCAAAATACAACAGTGAACTCAGAGATGGTGTATTGTGTACGCTGATTGGATGGGGATCTATGGAGGTTAGTAAGGAAAAATTGTAGCCAAGCGTTTTACTTACTTATTTTCGATTGATTAAAAAAAATCATAAGTTATATTCAAAGAAAATCATCATAACTCAAAGTATCAGTTTATACGAGTACCTAATTCATTTTACCCGGTCAGACTCAAGTTTGTAAAAAAATACATTTTATTTATTAAAGGAGTTCGTTCGTTCCGCTTCATCACATCTGGCTACCTTTGTTAAAAGCCCACCATTTTAAATTTATTGAAAATGTCAAATATTTTCGAGACTTCCATCGGTTCATTTCGGTTGATATCAGTATTGTTCTCGAGAGACACCCACCACACGCAAAACAGGCGCCTAGACATCGAATTGCGGACAGCATGCCATCATTATTGTAACAGTGTGCACCACAGAGGTTGCCTAATGCACCGAACCCTCGTAAATAGCCGTACTATAAAATAAAATATGGCTATTTTACTGACTTTCAAAACAATATTAACGAACCACCTATGTAGGTACTTACAGTTCAAATGTTTGAAAGTCATATTTATCCGTTTCAGAGTACAGGTCCACAATCCGAGCAACTACAGCAAACCATGATGTTCACTATCAACCAAGACGAGTGTCGACAACGATATAAAAGACTTGGCACTGCCATTGTTGATTCTATGTTATGCGCCGGAAAGTTAGATATTGGAGGAGCTGATGGTTGTTTTGGAGATTCTGGAGGACCCCTCATTTACAAAAGAGTGGTCGTCGGTTTGGTTTCGTTCGGCTTCAACTGCGGTCATCGGTATTATCCTGGTGTTTATACAAAAATTGGACACTTTACAAATTGGATTGTGAACACTATTGATAATAATAAATAGAAAAATTGTAGGATACCTATGTTAAGATTTCTAAATTAAATTATTGAATTATCACAGACATTTTTATTGTAAATAAGGTAGCTGGTATCTACAGCCGAAATAATAAATTAATTACTCCTGGCAACACGAACTCGTAAACTGTCATGTGTGATTCGCTCTGGACCTTTTGGAGGGAAAAGTGTCGTTTTTATTTTGACTTTCAATTATTTTGTGAAATCTAGTTTAAAGTGGAACAGGATAGTGCTATTGTGCCTTAATCGAAGATTAAAACGCGAAATTATACGAATCTCGAACTAAAATACCCGTATCGGCCCGTTTTAAAGAATCCCGAGTCACTCCATGCACGCCGCCTCAAATTGCCTATCCTCTTTGTGGCGGCCATGTTTACAGAAACATAATTAAACTTCATGTTTAGGCTAATGGCTTCGCCAAAGCCTTAATAAATTAAAAAAAAAACTGTCAAGTGTGTCAATGTCAAAAAAATATTATGTCAATATTTCACTGGCAGTCTGTGGTCAATATATTGCAGATGTTGAGCTGTGGGTGAAAAAAATAATTCGCGAAATTATATATTTTTTCTCTCGAAATTTCACGTTATTTGCGTATTACTGCTGTATTTTTGTGTATTTTATAATGGGCAAAAAGGGTGCTGTAGCGTTCATTAAAGATTTCTACTATGACCCTTTCAAATGGTAAGTAAATGTTAACCTCAAAGGTAATTTTAGTTTTTATACGAATTGATTTTTTGTTTAAGTATGTTACGCTTTGATACTCTTAATTATTTGTTACCTTTTCACCGATGGCTCTATAGCCAATGCTCAATAAATAAATAAAAATTAGTGAACCTGTACTGAGTGCGTGTAGTTTGTCTTTTGATATAAACCGCGAAAATATTTCATATTTGGGCACATTTCATTGATAGCTACGTGTTCCGCATTGCAAAAAACGTTTTGAGTGTATATATGACGTAACGTATTGTTGCACTAAATAAACATGCAACTACAAAACAATTGCTCACGATTGTGTCGAGAAAATTATATGAAATTCGGTAGGACTTTAGAATAGCTGACGTCGTATTAGGGGGGTTCGGGGTGAAATAAGTTGAGGGACCGCCCTCTGAAGTTTGTCACCATATACATTTTTGAAAAAAGTAACTTCAAAATCATATGTTTTAACATAAGTGCAGACTCAACTATAGTTGATTTGAGAATTGAAATTTTTTTTTTTTTTTTTATACATGACAGGCAAATGACTCCACTCCACCTGATGTTAAGTGGAAAGTGGTATCCAAACGCGAAGGAACCTAGTGCAGCGATGAAACCCTCACTGCACTAGCCACCTCCACCCTGCCATAATATAGTGAATAGACTATATAGTTACTAGTGTAATCCTAAAATATTAACTTTAAGAAACATGTAGTTTTGATAATAGAAATTATTAAAATATTCGAAAATCGCGCGCGGCTTGGGCATTAATAATTATTGAGATCACCAAATCATATATTTGCACGTTATGAACACAGGGGACTTCTAGTATCCAGAAAAGTTTCCAAAGTCTAAGTCTGCAAAGGTTACGCTTCGCGTAGTGACCACTTTGGACTTATTGAACGCCTTGGAGTTATTGAACAGATTCGTTTTTTCTGCCCAGAAATTTCTGCATTTATTTCAACATTTTAAAGCTGATGTCCTTGTAGCTAAAGCTCAATTAAAAAATAGTAAAAAAATTAGCAAGGAATGCAATTAGTTTTGTAAACTAAAAAGCTTTTTAAATTTTTATTGATTGATATTCAATAAAAATTCCGAGAGAAGAGAAGATCCGGCCGGATCAAAGGAATTTTTCTGAGTGTTCGATCTTTATATTAATAATTATAACAAACTATTAAAGTAATTTCACAAAAAATAATTGAATATCAATTCAGTAAGAATTTAAAATACAGCTCTCGCCAGGACTGGTAGCTGTAAAGGTACTAACTGGGTGATAAATCTTTCATAGATTTCTCATAGATGGCGCTACGACTAAAAAGTCATTGAAAAACCAAATAGAAAGACACGAGGCAAGCATATAGAAAAATTCATCGAATTTTTCTATATGCTTGCCTCGTGTCTTTGTCGTCGTGAGTCCGCTGGTTCGTTCCGTGGCTTAGTTGGTATAGCGTCTGGCACAGTAAGCTAGAAGACGTCAGTTATTAAGTACCATTAACCATATTTAAAAGTAAGATTTAAGTTTATTAACTAAAATTTTAAATTTTATTTTTCGATAAGGTTTCAAAATCAGTATATTAATTATAATAATTGTGTTAAAAGAGAAATAAAAAATTATCATAAAATAACAAAATTTGTGGAATAACCAAATCCAATAATAAACTTGCCAGTGTCAGTGACAATTTGAGCATTAACTAGTAATGTACCTTTTTTGCCTTAGATTTCACTAGTTTCAAAAATTATGTTAGTTAAACCTTTTGGGCCAGCGAAAATGACACCGCGGTTCAAAAAAATAAATTACACATTTTTTTTGTTTTAATTGTATGACTAGAATACGTACAATAAATCAAATCATTAAACATAAATGAGATTTTTCGGATATTGTACAATTATTGTACTTTTGTCTTCATTAACGCAGCCTTGGTGCTGTCGTCTATAATGAAGCATTTTTTTCTATAACGTTAGCAACAATTTTCGCGGTTATTTGTGCGTCTTTCTAAAAAAGTTATTACTGTCGAAGAAAATACAATTTACGAATTTTAAATCAGTGATATGTGATTGCATGGAAGTATATATGGTAAGGAGTTACTAAAGTTTCAATAAATACTAATTTCAAATCTCATCCATCACAATAAAACATATATATTTTTATTTTAACCAATAAATATGCAATCTCTAATAGATTTGCTTTTGTAAAAGTATCAATTATGCTAAGGGTCATTATTTTGGCTTGGTGGCATTGTGTACGTAAATATGAATGTAAATATTAAGATTTCAAAAGTGTGTCCCACCCGTCACAGTGATGGGTGGGACACACTTCTAAACGTTTTTACTTTGATTAAGTGTTTGTATTTTCATGGATTTGAATTTTTACGATGTTTACTAGGTGTAATAGTTGCTTTAATTTCAGAGTTTAACATTTGATGTGTTAAATTGTGACAATTGGGACACCATTTTGCAACAGGTGGGACAAGTTACATTTGAATATGTAGAATTTAAAAAAATACAGTTTGTATGTAGATCCGTCATTTGTACGCAATTTTTTTATAATTCTTCTCATAATTAAGACATTTTAACACATAAAAAAGACAATTAAAAAGTGACAACATTTTTCCTGATGATTTTGAATATCAGGAAATTCATGAAAAGTCTGTCTCCACTAGTTTTAACTCTATATTCGAGCAAAACTGGTAAAATTTGATATATTTTGATGTGATACACAATCTTCAAGGATGCGGCAGGATTTTTCAAATTTATTGACGCATTTTACTTGTGACTTTGATTTCATGTCGTCATAGATAGTGTTTCTAGAAAAATAATAGGATTACTTTATCAGTTCTTTAATTCTGTTTTTTTATATTAAAATATCTTAATAAGATAAAAATTATAAAATATTTTTTTGCTAACGATGGGTCTCATATTAAACTCGTCCCACCCGTCACAAAATCATGTCCCACCCATCACAACTTAACAATTTAATTTCCTTAAAATTTATCAAAGTTATTAATTAAGTGTATATATAAAATAGAACTTTAACATTCAAGTTATCTCATATGAAAAACTTGCTGAACAAAATATTAGTAGTTTGTCTTGATCTTGGCAATGAAGTCATCAACTCAAACAGGCGGGTGTCGTGAGTGTCACACTTATTGAAAATTAAAAGTTTTGAGTATGAATAATGTCATAAGTTTATGTAAATAAATAGTCGCAGTTGAATTGTATACCTGGCTTCATGATATTTTCATTTACAGTCTAATTAACCAATGGTTAGGGAGAAATTACTTAAAGTTCAAGAAAAAAGGAATCAAAATGTCCCACCTGTCACTTCAGAATAGCCCTTTTATACATCCCATCGTCAGTGGTAGTAGGTAGTGATTTATCAGCAATAGTTAATTGTGTAGGGATGACACTAGAATAAACATTATCTCGGAATTGCCATATTTCATAATTATCAGTTAATTATGAAATATGGCAATTCCACCAAGATGCCCTTAGATATCTCCTATACTTTTGAATGGTCAATATAAGCTGCCTTGTTTTTATGAGTGAATAGTACGAATTTGACGGACTATTCAACTTACAGGCTTTATCAAGATTGATATAAGTGCTTATAGCAGGTTCTGAGCCACGGCTGACTGTTTGTTTGAAAACACAAATATATGCAATTTAGATGAAAAAATATTCATTTCCACTGTGTATCAATCGCAAAAACCTAAGAACTCACTATTATATGAATCATATTTCATTTTCTTTTATTATTTATTAAACTAAAGTTTTCTGACATCAAACATACTTAAACAAAAAAAAACTGACAGTTGAACTTATCTTGTTCATTGAACCTGTTTATCTAGTGTTATTTAACTACAGCTATATTTAACTAAAATAAGTTTTGATATTAATAAGAATCAAAACACAACAAGTAAACATTGAACACAAAACATAACAATAACATCCAACCATACTGTGTCTTTACTATGATTAATGTATTATAAATACAGGAAGAATAAATTTGAAATTAATAACGCAAGATATGCAACTTGTCGGAGTGTTTCTGTGGTTTTTTTTTTTTTGGCAAACATAAAATTGGTTTATTGTTGTTCTTTTTTATGGTTATCGTCTTTTTCTTGGACACTGCGTACACCATTACTATTAATACCAAAAACACATTACGTTACGAAGTGTCAGAAAAAAAATAAAACAAGTTGTTTGTTTTAATAAAATGTAATAGTTACCACTTTAAAGAAATTTAAGTTGTTATACATAACCATAAATTGTAAATAGTAAAATTTAAAACCGAAATTTTTAGTTAGGTGCCTGTCAAAATACCTCTTACTAAAATTGTACCGTTGGTATGCCACATCTACTATTACAATATAATACTATTCATTTGTTTTTGTTATATTGTAGTAATTATATGCATGCAACCTCTCTGAATTGAATTAAATTAAATGTAATATATTGCAATGCCCTTAACAGGATTCATGTACTGTCTCTGCAATATTTTTAAGATCAATTTAACGCAAATTGTACATGTATAGCAATAAATAAATAAAGGACGGGCAAAGGGTGCATGTGACAGCCTTGATCAGTAAAAAAGTCGGTCTGTCACAATTTTAACTTTTTTATATGTGGAAAGGTATGAAGTTACCACAATAGAAAAGTAGATATTTTTTTAATTTCATTTCTTTAAACACCATTTTCTCGGTTTTGAGTGTTTGTCACAAACGCCCTTTCGACTAACGGCGGCAGTCATGTGATCATAGGTCCAAACCCCAAGAAAATTATAAATTATAAAAATAATATGAACTACATAAAAATAAAAAATAAATTAAGTCATAATTATTAATACAAAGATCGAACATTCAGAAAAAACACTCAAAAAAAATTCCTTCGATCCGGTCGGATTCGAACCGACGTCTTCTTGCATACCGTACCAACTAAGCCACGGAACGAACCAACGGACCTCACGAATTTTTCTATGTGCTTGCGTCGTGTCTTTGTACTTGGTCTTTCAACGACTTTTTAGTCGTAGCGCCATCTATGAGAAATCTATTGCAGATTTATCACCCAGTTAGTACCTTTACAGCTACCAGTCCTGGCAAGAGATGTCGCTATTCATTGTATTAATTAAATTTTTATTGAATTGATATTCAATTATTTTTTGTGAAATTACTCCACTAGTTTGTTATAATTATTAATACAAAGATCGAACACTCAGAAAAAATCCCTTCGATCCGGTCGGATTCGAATAAAAAGGTTATCGACTTGTCATTCGTAAAATGATTCATGATCATCAACACATTATACGTTTTACTGCTGGTTACGGATCTATTCCTGGGTGCGGGGCGAAATGGAGTATCCATTGGTTGGCTGAAACCTGGACTTTGTATTATTCGCTTACAATACATAATTATTATAAAATTAAATTCTAGCGTGACATTTGTAAATAACAAAAATTCAAGGAATGTTTTTTCCCATTATATTATTCTATGCAACTCTGAATCATATTCACGACAGAGGAGTAAAGTATATTCATTTTTAGCGACATATTAATTTTTTTAACGAGATTGTCACTTCTCTTGATTCTGAAATACCAAACTAACTTTCTATAAATAACTTTCTTCGCACAATGATCAATTAATGTCATCAGATATTCATGTCAACAAAACATCACCCTATTGTAGCATTTCACGGACATATCGGCTTACTGTTTAGTAAACCTCTATAAATATTTCCATTTAAGTTGACACGTAGGGTTGCCTATCACTCGTCTAGTAGATGGAGCAATGGAATAGAAACATAATAAAAATATTATTGCATATTTTACTCAATCACATACTAGATAAAATATAGGGAAATATATAACTATAACATGTAACTACGTACGTACAAATCTCAAACTAAATTTGTTCCTTTTTTAACGCGTCACTCGCCTTTTTCAACCCGTCACGAGACACCATGTTCCTCCAAGACGCATGACGCGCGGTTCCACCCATCATTTATACAAAAAATTAAAAAACCGAAATAATAATAATAATAAATAAAAACCGTTAATGACACCGAGTATCCTTAGGACTCGTGACAGGTGAAAACATTTAAGATACAATTTCCAACAAAGAATTTTGACACTGTAAACTTTGACTATGACATAGTGCTGTTCTCACAACGCGTACGTATTTTTACGGTAATTAGTTGCTTTATTTCTTCAACATACTGTATTCTATATAGATTTTTGTTTGATTTAAGAGCTCTGACTAATTCATATTAACTAAATTTATTTAAGTAATTGTTATTACACATAGGAAATGAAACTATTTTTCCGGATTTAACCCCTAGCCCTTTACAATCAACCGTGACCATGGGCCCGAAACGTTGGTTTGTTTGAAAAAACAAATATATGCTATTTAAATCCGGAAAAATAGTTTCATTTCCTATGTGTAACAATCGCGAAAACCTAAGGACTCGAATTGTTATTACAATAAAGTAAAATTATATTACTTTATTACCGTTAGTTCCTACTAACGGTAACGCCGTATACGTCACAGTAGACGCATACGTCGTCGGTTCATTGCTAACGCGTCATATCACTTTCTAAGCTTTAATGTATCTGGGACTTCTATTCTACTTTTTCATTCATAAAAAGAGGTGGCAACCATAGGTGATACTGACTTTTTTATCTTTCAGGTCAGTCGTAAAGAGCGTCAGCTTTTTTGCAGTCGGAGTGATCATCGCGAGTGAGTGCTCCGGTCTAGAGCTAATGCCGGCTGTTCCACAATAAATAGATAATATTTCTAAACAATATTCAACAAAATGTTAACTTATTTGCTTGTATTTTCGTTCTTTGGTGCTGTGTATTCAAATAGACCTAATTTCGTTGTGTTCTTAACCGATGATCAAGATTCAGTGCTCGGTGGTATGGTTAGTATGAGAATGAGTGAAAATAAAGTAGTTTAGTGGAATCTGTTGTTTTATTTTATCAATATTTTCGTTTCAGACACCGATGGCGAATGTGCAAAAGTTTATCGGTAACGAAGGAGTCACATTTACTAACTCGGTAAGTGTATAAATACTGTATTTAATAGGAAATTAAACTATTTTCCCGGATTTAAATCGCGTATATTTGTTTTTTCAAACAAACCGACGTTTCGGGCCCTTTACAGGTGCCATGGTCACGGTTGACTGTTGGTTTGAAAAAACAAATATACGCGATTTAAATCCGGAAAAATAGTTTCATTTTCTATGTGTAACAATCGCGGATACCTAAGAACTCGATACTGTATTTAAATTTACATGTTTTAAAATAATTTGAGTGCTGACTATTGGACTTTAGAGGCACAGGAAACTTAAGATTTGATGTTTAACAGCCGGCAATGTGGCATATTTGCTGTTATTCTTCGTTAGGTAGATCTGTTTGTCGGTTTGAAAGTCCTAGAGACACGGTGACCCTAACTATAATAATAACCCACACACTCATAGCCCCGCACCAAAGAAATTCCGTATCTCGGACGCCATGGACACATACACACTTACAGATTACACCCAAACTCACGAAAGAAATAAAAGTAGGCCATACAAATATTTCTCCCGGGCTGGGAATCGAACTCAGGACATCTGCGTGGCAGACTAGAATGGGAACCATTCGGTCACGCAGGCAGTTTACAATTTTGGTACCGTAACTAGGAAGTTACCTATACCTTACATCGATACCTCCAATGAACACTAAACAGTACTTTGTAAACAGCCACTTTTATTTTCTAATATTATGCTCTCAACCACATTTATTTACTAAACCGCTCACGTTGGGAAGCGCTACTCTCGGTACGATATGGTTAGCTGACATTATAAACGCTTTGGATACTCAATCGTTTTTCGATAATACATACATAATTTATACTTCAGACAACGGATATCATATTGGTAAGTATCCATTTGTAGCGTGAAAAGATATTATCAGTAGATGAAAATGGTAACTGACGTCGTAAACGTTCTGAATACGTAGTTACTTAGTAGCGGTAGTGCTCCTTGTGAAACAGTTCGTCCTGGGAAATACTGCCACCTTACCTATTTCTGCCGCCAACAGACACATACATGAACACATTTGTGAAAAAAAAATAAAGCAACAAAAAACGAAATTCGAAATAAAAAATTCTTTTTTATTTTTTTTTAAACTAATTTTTCGAAAAATAAATTACACAAACAAAAAACAAAATAAGCACAGATCAGGTCCAAAAATTATGTTATAAGTGTTCATTGGAGGTATCGCCATAAATTGATAATGGGCGCGACAAGTTGCGGCATTAAGAAGTTAAAGTACAAATATTTTCTATACGTATCGCTTCAACAGTTCACTACTTCCCCTATCTGCTGCCCCAGTCGAGCCAGTTTTCTCACCGGCAAATACGTGCATAACCACCGAACATACAACAACAGCATCGTCGGCGGCTGCAATGGCGGCGAGTGGAGAAAAGAAGAGAACACCACTTTTACCAACATATTGCACACGAAAGGATATCGAACGTTTTACGCCGGAAAGTATTTGAATGAGGTTCGTATAAATAGGTTTCTGCTAGACGAACACAGCAATTACCTAGCTTTGACGAATTGGTTGGCCCAAGGGGCATAGGATGTTTTGGTCCCGGGTTCGATTCCCAGTTGGACTAGTCTGGGAAATGATCTTTTCTAAATTGTAATTGAATGTGTCACCACCAATTCAATTATTCAAATTAGATATTCAATATTTTTTTGTAATTAGTTATAATTATACCGGCTAGAACGTCACCCAAATCAACTAGCCAAGCAGCTCACCATGCCTGAAAGTATACGACGACTAAAAAAACCGCGTGACATCTTTGACCACGGTAGTCAGTAAAATACCTGACTACACAACCTATAGGGCAGGGCTCCACTGAGAGTAGCACCTTTTCCATTATGAACTACATACAACCCATCGTTTATAGCCAGGTAGGCTGATTACAAGATAAAATTCAAATTCAAAATATTTTATTTCGCTAATATCACAGCATAGTACACGAGCCACAAAATTGAAATGAAGTAAAAATATCATATCATATCGTTTATTGCATTATGTGGTACAGTAAGGTCTTAAAAATAATACATAACATGATCCAACATAAACCCTGTAAGGGCTCAGCAATTTGACTTACTTCACTAGGTACATTGTAAATTATTAATTATAATCGATGAATTCTTGCAAATTGTAAAAACAGTTCGATAGTAAAAAAACCTTTAACTTATTAACAAACATACGTTCCGTTTCAATATTTCGTATTATGAGGGGTATTTTATTATAAATTTTTATTGCCATATGGTGTGTGCCAGAAGATACAATGTGTAAATTTGTAAATGAACCAACCAATTTATTTCTTTTCCTTAATCTAGCTTTACAAGTATCATTACTTTCTTGTTCAAATAGATGCCTATATTTTCTTACAAACTTACAAATTTCTAATATGTATATTGAGGTAAGTGTTAAAACATTCAAACTGGTAAAGTGTGGTCTACAAGTATCTGTTCCTCTTATATTTACCAAAATTCGCATGCATTTCTTTTGCAGAACGAAGAGGTTGTTGGCGTTTGTACTATTACCCCATAAAACGACGCCATAATTTAGCCATGCATACGCATAAGCATAATATGCTGTCAAAGCGGTTTTCAAATTTGTACACTTCTTTAGTTCGAACAGAGCATACGTAAATCGTGATAGTTTTCCTGACACCTTATCTACATGATTTTTCCAATTCAGTCCTGAGTCGATTTCTATCCTAACAAACTGCACGAATCAACAGACATTACTTTACAATTTTCATATGAGAAATCGAATTTCAAGGGACGTTTTTGTCTAGGTTTTACTTGTATTAATTTAGTTTTCGTTATATTTAATTTTAAATTGTGATCTGTTAACCAGTCTATTATTTGTTTTAGGGTAATATTTAATTGTTGTTTTAATTCATCACTATCATTACCTTGAAAAAGTAAAGTAATATCGTCCGCATAAAGTATGCTCTTTGTACTTACCAGTTTTGGTAAATCGTTAATATATAACAGAAAAAGGGCACATCCCAAAACACTTCCCTGTGGTATTGAGTTTTTTACGACAAGTTTTTTTGATCTGCATATATGTAGTTAAAAATTTTTTGCACATGTCGTAGTGTTCAATATCTACAAACTGTTGCCGATTCTCTAAGTAAGATTCAAACCATTTGAGGGCTATCCCTCGTACACCTACTCCATGCAATTTTCCTAAAAGAATTGTATGAGATACTCTGTCATATGCTTTGCTCATGTCTAACAACAGTGCAACAGCATACTTCCGATTATTAATTGTATTTAATATTTCTTTGCTATACTTATAGCGTGCAAACGTAGTTGATCTGTTTTTACGAAAACCATTTTGACTGTCGTCATATATTTTAAATTTTTCGCAAAATGAATTCAAACGCTTAGCCACTGCAGCTTCAAAAATTTTTGAGAACGTAGACAGAAGAGCTATGGGGCGAAAATTATTAGGATCATTTGCAGTTCCAGATTTGGGCACGGGTTTTATAACTGTGATTTTCAACAAGTCGGGAAAGGTTGCTTCGGAAAAAGATTGATTTACTAAATGTGTTAAAGGTTCCACTAGTTCATCATTGCATTGTTTGATTAGAGTCGGGGGAAATTCATCATATCCAAAGCTTGACTTACTCTTCAAGTTTTTGCATGCTCAAGATGAGTTCATCAAAATCACTTTGAGGAATGGCCGCCCATGTGTTTTGTAACAAGTCAAAATATTGTTGTAGAGTATGTACGGTATCCATACTCGGCACAGCTCTTCTTTGAAGCATATCCCATGCGTGCTCAATTGGATTGAGGTCTGGCGATTGAGCAGGCCACGGCAGAACGTTGATACGAGCTTCGGCAAGAATGCGTGTTACGACTCTAGCCGTGTGTGGACGTGCGTTGTCATGCATTAGTTGAAATGAATCACCCAACTGGCCTCGCAAAGGGATGATAACATCTGAAACAATCCTCTCTGCGTAAACTTGAGCATTGAGGTTACCCCTGATCCAAATGAGATCGGTTCTTCCGCCGATCTAAATACCAGCCCATATCATTATTGTTCCCCCACCATATGGATGAACTTCCTGACAATATCTCAAACGTTCATGACGTCCAGATGTTCTCCAAACTCGAGTACGTCTTGTATCCGGTCTCATACCGAAGCGGGATTCATCCGAAAAGCACACATAGCGCCAGTCTTCTTCCTCCCAGTTTCTGTGTTCGCGAGCCCATCGTAAACGGGTCCTGCGATTGCAGGGTGCAATAGGTGGAACTCTGAGCGGCCTTCGGGATCGCAGACCCACTTCACGTAAACGATTTCGGATTGTTTGATCGCTTATTAGCAAGCCTGAGGAGCTGTGGAGCCTCGTATCCAACATCATGGCGGTCATGGTACGATTCCGTCGAGCAGTATTTTGGATATACCGGTCCTGTCTGCGAGTCGTGATGCGAGATCGTCCTCCATGTCGCTCGGCCACGCTGCCCGTCATGCGATAGCGCGTCCAGAGGCGACTTATGACGCTCTGTGTAGTGTTAAGAGTGAAAGCCACAGCACGTTGCCTGGAACCAGCTTCCAACATTCCGACGGCTCGCATCATCACTTCTCGGGTTAAATGATGTCGTCTCTCCATAATAATGTAAATTGTTTCGGTTCCGATGCAGATATTGTAATGATTTTGTCAAAACGCTATAACTCATTTTTATACAAAACCACATTGACAATCGATTTTCTTCTTGTTATCGAATTTTAAACAATATTCCTTATTTAAATGTTAAAACTCACTAAAAAGTATCAATAGCGATACAAAAAAGTTAATATAATTAACCCTAATTGCAGCAATACTCTTAAACGTACTTGATCCTTAGACACTTTTGATGTGTGTATTTTGTTATAATTATAATATACTAAATATATTATTAATATATATAATATATTATTAATACAAAGGTCGAACAAAAAATTCCTTCGATCCGGCCGGATTACGACCGACGTCTTCTAGCATACCGTGCCAGACGCTATATCAACTAAGCCACGGAACGAACCAGCGGACTCACGAATTTTTCTATGTGTTTGCTGTCGTGTCTTTGTATTTGGTTTTTTCAAGGACTTTTTAGCCGTAGCGCCATATATGAGAAATCTTATTTCGTCACCGAGTTATATACCTTTACAGCTACCGGTCCTGGCTAGAGATGTCAATTCAACAAAGATTTAAATCAAAGTATTTTACTTAGTAATGGACGGAATTGCGCCCTTATTATCTTGTTCAATTACAATTAACAAGATAATAATAAGGCACAACACACAAAAGGCACAACTGAATATTATTGTACCCTATAATTCTATTCATAAGTCAAGTATTAAAAGTAACATTTAAATTAATTATTCCCTTTAAATGCAGTTGCAATTATTTTTCTCTATTTATTTATGTAATTTTAAAAACATTTGGTTAAAATGCAGTGAAAGTTTTGTGTATAAAAAAATCGACCTCAAAAGATTTTGAATGATTCATCCCCTAGTTTGTCACCCTTAGATGTGGAATATTTTCTTCAAATTTAAATGGGACCAATACTGAAGTGCCCTCTTTCCAACAAAAAAAGAATCGTCAAAATCGGTTTACAAATTTACCGGAGTTATCGCGTAATATCTTAGAGGATGGAAAAAGCATAATATACATACAAAAAAAAAAAGAAAAAACATACAGTGGAGTTGATGTTTTTTTTAATGTATTTTTTTTTAATTTCATTTAATGTATTGTACTTTATGTTTTATTTCATTTCATTTTTGTGACTCGTGTACTATGCTGTGATATTGGCGAAATAAAATAATTTGAATTTGAATTGAGAACCTCCTCCTTTTTTGAAGTCGGTTAATAAAATATGTCTTATGTACATATTTATAACAAATAAGCTACTCAATATTAAATGTATATTTTAACTATTTAACAGAAAAACCTTAAAAACAATATTTGCGAATTAAACTTTGCTCCTTGTACTACCTTTCTTTCTTTCGATAGCAGTATACAGAGCTCATAAACTCGTATCTTGTCTTTGAGACGTGTGATTTTAAGTCACCTTATTATACTTTATAACTTCATTCCAGTACGGCAATATACACGCTGGTGGTGTTAGTCATGTACCACCCGGTTGGACAGAGTGGCACGGGCTGGTGGGCAACTCTGTTTACTACAATTACACGATATCCAATGATGGCGTTCCAACTTACTCCACAGATTTGTATCTTACTGATGTCATTGTAAGTATTCTAGTGCCTAAAAGCCAACTTGTTGGTTGTGAAATTTTGAATAGAAAATTAGCTACTACTGTTATGTGTCGCATATGAAATCAAATACTGTCGCAACTCAAAAATAGTGGTAATGAGAAGACACGATTTGAAAATTCGAAGAAACTATACTGAAATTATAAATGGGAATATTTTATTGGTTCCATTCAGTAATTTTTGAAGTTGCAAATATAGTGTTTGTGTTACGACAGTATTTCTTTGCATACCCGATGTATAGAAATCAAAACATAAATAACTGACAATGGTAATAACTTTACATCCAATGAACACTACGCCAACTTTGCTTTTTGGTCATTATCTGTTATTTTTGTAAACTGCTATGTTTATTTACTAATAGTATGCTCCCCGAATTTTGTGAAAAAAATAAAGACAAACAAAATTCGAAAAAAAAAACAACGAATTTTGTAAAAAAAAAAATAAAGCAACAAAAAACAAAGTAAAAACAGAACAAGTCCAAAAATTAAGATGGCGTAGTGTTCATTGGAGGTATGGCAAGGGTTTTTTTATGATATAAAGTGACGGGACGAAAAAGTCATACCGCCTGGTGGTAAGCGATACCTCTACTCAGATAAATCGCAAAGGGGTAGTGCCACTGCGCCCGCAACTTGAGACATAAACTTGATAAGTCCGATGTGCCTGTAGTTTCGCCTGCACCATTAAGCTGCTGCTTGACGGCAGAAATAGGTAAGGTGACGTTACTTCTCTGGACAAACCCTTTCACAAGGAGCTGTACTGCATACTAACTATCGAAATACTTGGAAGTGTACATTTTAAAAAGATTTTTTTATAATACCAATTGACGGAACGAACAAATTTACTTAATAATACGCCTGGTGGTAAGCGATACATTGTCACTATCCGTAACAGTTACATTGCCACTTAGAACCTTAAACCACAAAGATCTTAGAAGCACTGCCACTGCGCTCGTCCCCCTGAGACATAAGTTAAATGTTCACATTACTGCTTGGCGGCAGAAATAGGTAAGGTGGCAGTATTTCCCTGGACCAACTCTTTCACAAGGAGCTCTAGAGCTCCTTGTGAATCTAGCACTAACTAGTAGCACTAGTGCTACTAAAATGTTTAGCTTGATATGCTGCCACATGCACATGCAGTAGATAGTTTTCGTGTACTTTTTATTATCTGCGCGTCAGACGTGCTAAATTGTCCTTAATTGTTTAAACAATAAATTATTCGACACATTATTATTTTCCTTAAAGAAGCCGTGGTAGCCTAAGCGCCCAGACACACGAGGAGAAAGTTTTCGCGCGGCCGCCGCTCGGTCGAAGAGCGGACTCCGCTCGGCGACAGCGTAGACAAAAGACAAGCTAGTGCCTTCCAGCTAAAAGCTAAATAAATAGAGCGTATTTTGCCATGACAGTTCGGTCTCTAAACACGTGCACGCGGTCGCTAGGCGGCGACCGCTTGCCCTAAGGGCGCATTTATTCGACACGAATTTCATCGCGCTCACCCCGCGCCGCCGCCGCGCGGTCACCGAGCGGAGTCCGGGTTGCCGCCGCGCAGCGACCGCGTGCGTCTAACTGTCATGGCAAAATAGGCTCTATTTGTTTAGCCTTTGCGTTTTAATAAGGCCTGGCTTAAATTTGGTCTACGCGGCGGCCGCGCTGTAATTTTATTGAGAGGAATTTAAATGTTGTTGCATAATAAATAGAATTCAGATTCGGCATAAATGTACATGGAGGCGTGGTAACTGGGCAAACGCCACGCGGCGGCCGTGCGAAAACTTTCGTCTCGTATAATTGGGCGCTCAGAGTGCAGGCGCGGCGCGTATGCGGGCGCACGGGACTTGGCGTCGTCTCTTTCACAGTGCCGAATCGGCTACGAGCGGATAGATCTACATGTCGAAATCGCAAACAGTCGCTAGACGCTAGACCAAGTACTATGAAAGGTACGGGTGGAGCGAGCCAATATTTACCCGCGCGGCGCTCGCGGCCACTCCGGCCACACAACGCGACGAGCGTCTACGTACATTTGGTTAACACGCACCCGCGCTTAAACTGCTCTGAATAAGACTAAAGGCTTGACCTACCGCCCTTCAAGCAGAGGCCGTGGGATCCGAGCTACTTCTGAAGTTCTGGGGATTTACGTGCGAAATTTAATTTGAAATTTACCTTCACCGAAAAGGTGACGGAAAACATCGTCGAAGAAGGTTTACAATCCTCGGAAAACGTGTGAAGTCCCCAACCCGCGCTGAGCCAGAGTGTCGGTCTATGGCCAAAACCCTCGTCTGGGAGGAGACCCGTACCCAGCATTGGGACGTATAAATGGTTGATGATTATTATTATTTACCTTGTAGCGAAACCTCGGCATAAGCTACATAGAAAATCAAACCGATTCAACACCATTCCTGATGGTCCTAGCGCCTCCTGCCCCCCACCAACCGTTCACACCCGCCCCGCGCCATTTCGGCCGCTTCAGCAACATCACCGCTGTCAGACATCCTAATTTCAATATTGCTGTTAATGTAAGTACTTTATGGAATACAATAATACTTCACAATTGTAGTAGATCTATATTTTAAGCTAACCAATTTGTTCAAATGGCCTTTGATCAAATCGGATAATGCTTTTTCAACGTAGAGACTTCCTGAACAAAAATGGTAAATGAAATCATATTTGAATAGAAATTTTCAGCTATAAACGCAAGTAAACGCAGATACCAATAGACAACGTCTTTATTCGCGATACAAACTAAAATAATAATATCAATACAGATTACTAAAAAAACCGACCTCAAAAGTCAGAGGTGGAATATTTTCTTGAAGTTTAAATGGGACCACTACTGAGGTACCCCCTTTGTAACAAAAAAAGAATCATCAAAATCGGTTCACAAATGGCCGATTTATCGCGTCACATACATACAAAAAAACATGCAAACATTTATGAACTGATTTTGATGATTCTTTTTTTTGTTGGAAAGAGTGTAACCTCAGTGTTAGTTCCATTGAAATTTGAAGAAAATATACCACCTCCAGGGGTAGTATATCAGGGGATGAATCTGGTTTATTGGATTTCAACCACTTTCCATTAACCGTTTTCAATAAAACTTGGTAAATAGGTGTAATTCCACAAATTTTTTTAATTGGTTTGTATATTTTTTTTATAAAAAGGTATAATTATTTGATGCCATTCTCGCCTTTCTTCTTTCAGGACAAACACTGGCTGATGTCAATGCCACCATCACCACTTCCAGAAACAATGATGCCAGAATTAGACAGAGTATATCGCTCACGATGGGAAACGCTACTCTCGGTAGACGATATGGTAGCTGATATTATAAATGCTTTGGATACGCAATCGCTACTCGATAATACTTACATAATTTATACTTCGGACAACGGATATCATATTGGTATGTATCCATTTGTAGCGTGAAAAGATATTATCAGTAGATGAAAATGGTAACTGACGTCGTAAACGTTCTGGATACGCAGTTACTTAGTTTAGTAGCAGTAGAGCTCCTTGTGAAAGAGTTCCTGCGCGTAAACTCCGATTTGGGAACATTTCAATAGTTCGTCTCACACTATCACCACTTATTGCGTAAAGTCGCACCATCTCAGTCAAATATCTATTTTGCGCAAGCGAGCGGAAGTACAAATAATTTACGTATCTTTACAAATAATTTACGTATCTTCGCCCAAGTTAGTCTAAGGTCGCGCGTGCCGCTATGCGCCCGCGCCCCCACCCCCGACCTGTGCTTTGATTTTCGCCGCCGTGCCGCAGCTCGCCGTTACGTCGGAACAATAATAGTGATGTGCATAGATTGCGATAACTAATGTTGTTCACAAGTAGTAGTCGATAAAAAAAAGAAATATTTTTTTGTAAAGTTTAAGTTCATTACTTTATTAGGTTGATAGGGAGGATCACTATAAGCAAAACTTATGTAAAAAGATATGGTCCATGCTAATGGTGAAAGTGTAAAGTCCCCAACCCACATTGAGCTAACTCTCTTAGTAGACTCGTGCGTACCAGTAGGGCCTATAATGGCTTAATGATGATGATTATTGATTGTAGAAGCACAGCAATGGTTATTTACCAGATGGACAAATGGGCCCAAATATAAATTGGGCCACAATCAATTATTTATTATAAATTATTACAGGTCAATTCTCCCAAGTGTATGACAAGCGTCAGCCATATGAAACTGATATAAGAGTACCTCTACTCATGCGAGGACCTAAAATCATAAGAAACACTACAAATGAGCAACCAACCTTAAATATCGACTTAGCGCCAACTATATTGGAACTCGCAGGTTAGTGGCATTTTCAGTGTTTTTTGTAATTTGCAACTTCATAAGGCATAGGTAATAATAGAATCTTACGTACTTTTGAATATCAAAATTGTAACCACTTAGGAAAACCCGTTATAGTTGGGGGTTTTTGCAGTTGGAATCAGAGGCGGCTCGTCACAAGGAGCGCTAGCGCAGTGAACTCTCACTCTTATCCAATCCACCAAAATAAAATCATTAATTCAGCTTTCATATTATATTAGTAGCCGTATTTTTTTTATTTATGAACGACAAACATACAATTACATTGTCATCTTTCTCTTTAATACAGTATCGCATTATTAACCTTTGAGTGGAGTGCTCCGCGATGCGCTCCTATGAACCGAAATTGTCTACAAAGTTCAGTACTGAATTCAATGAGTGCGAAAGAGAAATATTTTACGGCGCGACACGTGAAACAAAAGATTAGTATGAGAAATTTACAAAAAAATTAGCAAGATTTGAGCGGCGCAACGTTGCCGTGCCGTGCATGCCCAATACGGCGACTAATAAGGTGCAGAAACGCACTCCGCCTCCGCGCGCATTTTGTTGCAAAATTTCAGTCGTTGTTAAGAAGCGTAGTGTTGTTTAGTGTCATTGTTTAAAATAGAATTGAGTGGATATGTGAGCTCCATTTTTTATTTCAAATATGCAATAGGTAAGTGAACTCCCACCGAAATATGCCACGAGCCGCCTCTGGTTGGAATGCATCCCGTGATTACACCCTAATGAAGTCACCATAGTTATCGACACGGAAACGTATTAAGCCGGTCAAAAAAAACCTTATGTCCTTCTAATAAGGGCGAAAAAGTTATGCATTTCGCTTTATTTAATTTTAAATTCGGAACTTAATCGTATATAAAACGTATTTTATTTACCTCGACGATTTGTTAGCACCCGCCTCTCCAGAGACCATGGACTTTGCGTAAATACGTCCGAAACGTTGAGGTATTAAGAGTGTATAAAACCTTAAAATGACTTTGGTAGATTCCGCATAAGAGTGAAAGTGTTGAATCAATTACTTTGGAAAAAATGTATAGTAAAATTAAGGATTACTATATGGTGTGAAAACACGATTTCCTAAAAATGCTCACTATAAAAAAATTACCTCGAAATTTTACAAGAAAACCGCTGTATTTAATAGGTACTTTACATACATTAATGATTTTTTTATATCAACTCAACTTAATAAAACACGTATATTATACGATATACATTTTTCAAATGGCTTTAATTTCGTTTGTAAAAAAGTTAAGGGAAAATTTTAATTCGCGCTGAAGTAGTATCGAATTTACAATCAAATAATGTGTGAAAATCGTGAAAGTTTAAATCAGTGTATCGTTCGTTTCGCGTCGGTAACCCGATTTAAAGCTCCGAGTGAAGCTGCAACTGTTTTGGACAGACGTGTTGCTTACCACCACGCGCACGACTTGTTCGTCACTTGGACTTGGACGAAGAGATGGCCAAATCTAGGTCTACAGATATTTCGGTCAGGTTATATAAAGTTGTTTTTATCATAAGTACGACCAGTAGCTGAAATGTGTTTGTGTCGCAGCCTGTATAAAATGTGTCCATCGGTTATGCCCAACACAGGTGTTGTCGTACCCGAAACAATGGACGGGCGTCCTATAGTCCTCAACAACGGAAACAATGAAATCCAAGAGAGGACCATGTTGATCGAGTACCGTGGCGAGGGTAAAGACGGCACAGTCGATAAGAGATGTGCCTGGTATTACGATCGCGATAATTTGGCTGTAAGTACTGTTAACATAGAGACCATAAAGCTAAGAACTCACGAAGTAGTTTTCACCTGCGCCCGCTGTAGTTGCGGGACCGCGGCTTTCCTAGAATATGTATGTAAAATTTAGTAGCACACTTTACACAACGCGTTTAATGTCGTGGTTCCGATACTAGTAGAACCGCACGGGACGCGGTCACTCGCGGGCTTGGAGGCCCGGCGCCCGCGCAATCTGCAATCGATTCGCCGGCGTGCTTCATGTTTTTTTAACTCATTAATAAGAACAACGAATAATCCGTAACAATTTTTTTTGCTGATACACTCAGAATCTTTTAATCTTTCATTCTTGGACAAAGTAAGTATAACGCGTTAGCTCATTTCTTGTGTGTACCCAGACGACGTCTGGGACTTAACTAGATACGAGTTAAAAAAAAACAGATTTTGGGGATTCCCACAGCTACAGTATCGTAATTTGAACGTTACGCAATTGACTAATTGCGTAACGTTCGAAAAAAGAATTGAATAAAGTTTTATGTTGATGTGTGTTGATGTGCAATTTCATTTCAAAAACTCCCTTCCAAAGCTCGGTCGGTACTGGAAATTCTAAGAAAATATTATTTCGACCATTAAACGTGTTACGGAAGTTAAAAAAAATTATGAACATATATAACGAACATTTAATATTTCAGATTACTACACTCGAATGTTAAATAATACTTTATGATAATATTCTACAATATTTAACAAATAGAAATTGCCAGCGAAAAAAAATTACCTGAAAATTACCCGTTTATAAAATACTTAGTTGATAGTCTCTGTTAACTAGTACCTTAATTTCCAGCAATGTCACGTAGACTACGAGTGCAAATGCCAAGATTCACACAACAACACCTACGCGTGCTTACGACACCTGACCACACGGGTTAATATGAAGTACTGCTTCTTCTCTGATAACGACGTAAGTATAGTGTTATTTTGAATTGAAACTTTAATTCCACGTTCCTGTTGAAGTTGTGAGATGAGAGATGATGTACCCTGTAAGACATTGATAACGATTCTCTAAACGCAAACTTAATTTTAATAAAAACATTATTTATTAGTAAGAAAAGGACAGATTTCATTTCGAGAGCTTTTGTAAATTTACTCATGATACAAATAAGTAATATATAGCGTCGACCAATTGGACAACTCTCTAAATCATTCCTAAAGGCACGTCCCCATTATGTCGTACCTAACGTTTTATTTATCGTTGGACGACTGTCGCGTCTAGCCTGTACCCATATCACGACTATCTATCGTGACTATGTCGTAGACGTTTATTTTATCGTTGAACGACTGTCGTGACGACAATTTATCGGTTCACGGCAGCCGCCTTGTCGTTTGCACGACAGAAACGTTTTAAGCTACGATTATATATCACGTTTTTATCGTGACGTTTTATTTATCATTATTAGTCACGTCAAGACTGTCGTAACGCCAAAAAAGTCATGAACGACAGTTAATCGTGTTTTGCTATAAGTGAACAACTTCATTTAAATATATAAGCCACGACAAATATTTTATATGGTCGCTATACGGACCTATTACTACTGAACGCTATACAAACCAGTCACTTCATGGAAACGGTTACCATCGCGCTACCAAAATTATCTACTTTTTATTGTTTACAAACCTGTAAACAGACGCCACTTTTGTTTCATGGAAAACGGTTACCTATGAACATTAAAGACATGCCTGACAGGGCTATAACATTAATCATGCTTTTTTTTTCAAATTAATGAATAAAATATATATATATAGATATAGAGTGTTGAATAACAAAACTAGTTGCTAGGCAACCAGTGAAAATAATTTAGGCTGGCTTTGCCTATGGCCTGCTCGCGTTGTAAGATTGTATTTTATATTAATTTTCCGATTCAGACATTCTTAGCTAAATGTTTACGATCTCCCTATCAAACAAAAACATTAGCAACAATAAAAACATTATTATATGTGTCGACAATTTTATAAATAATTGATTACTGGTTATATTTATAAACTTCTATTGAACAAAATTCATCACAAATATTACTTGAAGATTAGTATTCATATATCACAACAGCCTAATCGAATTTCGGGGAAAAAAATTGAAATTGTGGTAACTGTGAGGCTCAAATTACACTGGCGCAGAGTCGAAGCGTCGCGTCGCGTTCTGTTTTTCAACCACAACGTACGGCGATGCGCGAAACCGCTCGACTTTAAACAAGCGTCGACGCGCGATTCTACATTTGTATAACACAAATTTGAACCTTAATGATGGGAAAATACTTCGACTCTGCGCCAGTGTGAGTTTAGCCTAAAACAATCTAAGGTGAAAACCCTAAAAATCATACTTATGTTTTTGTTAACGGCCGGCAGCGATGCAAATAACTTCAAATAGACATTGACAGATGTGACGTACCATAGACATAAAAATACGTACCGTTTTACGAAAAATGCTTAATGCGTCACAATTTAGTTTTCATCTAAATTATATTCAGTTATGCTGTAAAAAATCAGAACCTTTCGAAGCCATAAATGGGTTCATATGCGGTAAGGGGTTAACAATTGAGTTATTCTACATCGAATTTGACTAGCGTGTAACTGTTGGAAGATGAGACTTAGTACACTACAGGAAGACATACAACGCACATTGCATAGAACATATTTTTTTAGTTTGTGACCTAACTTTTCTGTCTTCCAGTTCTTCACAGAAATGTATGATTTAAACGAAGATCCGTTCGAGCTACACAACAAAGTGAACGAAGTATTCCCAGCCGTCAAACACTGGTACCAACTCATTATGGCCCATCTCTTAGGATGCAAAGGAGCGAAAGAATGCAGCAATCCCCTGCTTTATTACGAAGGAGAACTTATTAACTACGTCTAATTTTTTCAGTTAGGAGTTATGGGAACTGTATATGTTGTTTGTGATTTTTTTTAAATAGATGAATTGTAAAATACAAGCAGTATAAATACTATTAGACACTTAAAATTATTGAAGTAAAATTAAAGAATGAAATAATTTATTTCAGTCAGTGTACAGCTTTAACAGTTACATGTCCATATACATAATGTTAGTAGATGTTTACACTATGTTAGTAGAGTGCTCATTATCATGAACATAGATGGACATCCAATACAAGAATCCTGTCTGCTGCCACCTTATAAAGACTGTGTCTTGAACGTTTATAACTAATATATCTTGCGTGTTGTATAAAAGTAAGCATAACATACGTCGAAACCATTCAAATGATAGCACTTGCATCTCATTTTTAATTTCAAGTCGCATTGACTACATAAAGCACCTGTGTATTATATGAAATAAGCACAAAGTGTGTTAAAATAATTCAAGTACCTCAGTATCTTATTTTATTTATTTTTTTATTATATTATAAAGAAACTGTTCCATCTGTTTAGATATGTAGTTAGAATAACATGTTTGTCAAAATCACTTGATCCAATGTATAATTTAGTGAAAATGTTATTTAAGTTAACAACTCATGTGAACAAAAAATTTACTCAGTCGTGTTGTATAAAGTTAGAAATAAAATGCACAAAGTCATTTAACAATTTTTTTATTATAAACCGAACAACATTTGATAAACATGATAAATATCATTACAACGCTAAATATAATAAAATCAAAAATACATCACAGTCACGTCGGAAAATCATTTGATAATATTACACTAAACAGCCATTATCTGAAACAAGGAAAAATAGCTGATATCACTGAAGAAAACAAATTTAAAATTATATATCCAAAACAAGAAGTTTTCGGAATTGAAGAAATGTGCATGCGAACGAACGAGATGTCACGGCTCAGAGCGAATGACGCACTCAGCGTTGGTCGCAGAAACAAAATATATTATTCGAAGCGGAATATTTCTGAATTGATGACAACTCTTCTGGATTTCATGGTATTTCAAATGTACATACATCTACGTGTTAAAAAATATAATCAAAAGTTTGTAGTCATTCGCGTGTAGTCAGAAACTTGTCTGGATATTTCCTGTCTTCTTCGTAAAGTTACAGTACTTGCCATATTTATACCGCTCTTTATTCAATTGTGGATTCCTTCTCTCGTATTTAAAATATATAAATATAATAATATACTTTCAACGCAAAGAGGCGCCAGTTTCGCTAGGCTGCCGTCGTGGCCGGACGGTTAACACGCATGAGGTCCCGGGTTCGATTCCCGGGCCTGAAGAAATATTTATATGGCCTACATTTATTTCTCTCGTGATGTGAGGGGTGGGATTTGTGGTTGTCTACCTATGTGTGTATCCGTGGCACCCGGCAATACAGGGTTTCCCTAGCGGGCGTGGCCAAGCCGTAACGGTTTTTCCCTGTCCTCCGACCGGTAGGACGACCGGGAATATTTTTTACCATGCCTCCGATTGAATGGCTTTTTTTGTCACTTAGTTACATTTCGCCAAAATTAGTCAAAAAAAATCATTATTATATTTGCCGATTCTTGAGACCGAGTCCCTGAAAATATTAATTAGATATCCAAAATAATAATCATAGGAGAGGCGAGGACTTAAAACAGATACCTATCAGCATTGAATAATAACGTATTTGTTATAATTGTAAATACAAAGAAAAATTCCTTTCATCTGCCAGTACCCGAACCTACGTTTGAATAGGGCAACCGCTCTGCCAACTGAGCTACAGATCGATACGGCAGACGTTACAAAATTGTTACAGATTTGTGTTGTTTTTGCTTTTAACGACTTTTTTGGTTTTAATGACCAAAGCCCTTAAATAAATAGATATTGCTTGGTTGCAGTAATCATTGCAATCTTACACAAAGGTATAAATTACAAAATGGGAGATTTGCGTATACACTAACCTTAAACTCAAGTGACAGCGGAGGCTTGCTGTCGACTTTGTATGCTGAAATAGTCCGTCACCCGACTCTGTTGCCCCTCCTCCTTCATCACCAGCGGACATGGGAAGTATGCCTGCAAATTTTTAATAGAAAACCACCATGACACTCGGACATTAACTAAACTAACGGATAACATTGTTACAAGTTTGTATTGAGTTTAAACAGCTTGTTTTGCCGTGAGAAATTTATTAAGTTTCTTCACTCATTTAAGAGCGGTAGCCCTCGCATGGCAACACAGTAGATCAAATTTCAGAGATTTTTCTTTATATTGTTTGATTTTTGTATCAATAATAATAAACTAATAAATAACAAACTAGTGAAGTATTTCCCAAAAAAATAATATCATAATATTAAAATATCATGATATTCAATAAATAAATATTATAATTCTATAGAGTTCTTAGGTTTTCCCGATTGTTATATATAGGAAATGAACCTATATTTGTATTATTAAACAAGCCAACGTCACAAACGGTGGCTGACTGTCAACCGTGACGATGGAACCTGTAAAGGGTTCTAAACGTTGGTTTGCTTGAAAAAACAAATATACGCAGTTTAGATACGAAAAATATGAAAAAATCTTATAGAGTACGAGATTTTATTAGTTTGCTCATTATAAAACTTTACCTGAACAGATCTGGGTCCGCCCGAAATATCTACCGTGGGCACGACTTGCTGGGGCTTGAGGAATTTAACGAACCGGATCATCTCCCAGAAACTAGAATGCTCGCTGTACGGTATGCCTGTAACAATAAAGGAGTCATAAGCCATTTTTAAACGATTTCAAAAAAGGAGGAGATTCTCAATTAGACCCTTTTATTTGTATGTTACGCGACAACTTCGACATTTTGACGATTCTTTTTTTGTTGGAAAGAGGTTAACTCATTATTGTCGAGCTCTACGGGCTGACTGAAACCCATCGCTGTGGTATGTTACTGCAGCATATGCTGAGTAAAGTCCCGTGTTGGCATGACGCTGCAACACAGACCTTACCACATACTTCGTATTTATTTGAATTTTAATTGTCAATTAATTATTTGTATGCAAACTGTTTTTTGTGTGGCTTTGTGTATCTATTGGTCCCATTTAAATTTGAAGAAAATATTCCATCACTAAGGGTGACACACTAGGGGATGAATCTAGTTTCGAGCACTTTCCTGTAAACGATATCAATAAAACTTGACAAATAGATGTAATTCCACGAACTTTTAAGGCAGGTTTTTTAGTACTCTGTACTGATATGAGGTGCGATCACATCTACATATTCTAACCATGTATGGTGACAGGCTCCTTCTCGACGGTGGAGTTTTTCCCATTCTCCCATCCGCTCGGCTTGAACGCCACCACTTCGGTGAACGCGCCCTGCAGGGATTCCAGGTAACTGCTTAGTTTCTGAAATTTTTATTTTCAATTTCCATGTTAAAATTCCTACTTTCTGCATGGTATAATAAGACAAGTATGATAACTCCATACAAACGTACCAGTGCGGCTTGTCTGTGTATACACCCACCGCGTAGGAACGCACACAAACATACGCATAATCTCGCGGTTCACTTGCGTTGCATAGCGCGGGTCGTCACACGCACCATGCATAGTATATATATATTTTTTTAATACTAAGTGACGGGATGAACAACTCGTGTGGCTGGTGGTAAGCGATACGCCTGTCCATAACAGTTGCTGTGCCACTCAGAGCTTTAAATCACAAAGATCAGAGGGGCACTGCCACTGCGCCCGACACCCAAAGACATAAGTTGACAAGTCCCATGTGCCTGTAATTTCACCAGCATCTTGCCCTTCGAAACCGGTAATGAATTCGAAGCAGTAATGTTCACATTGCTGCTTAGCGGCAGAAATAGATAAGGTGGCAGTACTTCCCTGAACCAACTCTTTCACAAGGAGGTCTACTGCTACTAAAAGAATTAAAGCGATCGCTCTGTTTACACAATATCAAATAGTAGACGTGTTCATTGGTGTGTTTGTCGTAGTTGAAACAAAAGTCAACTTCAGAATTGTTCAGCATTTCTTTTCTATTTCATAGTCATACTCCGTAATCAAGATACCAATCCGCGTCTCTGGTATAAAACCCAAACAAGAGGAATTAAGTTATATAAGAGAAAGTGAAAACATGATGTACTAGAACTACGATGGAAAATATTTATTGAGGAACCTGATAATTAAACGAAGACATGGCTCAAAGGCCTTGTATCCAAGCCAAAACTCTTAATAAAAAAATAGGCATTTACGCGCCGAATAGGCGGGAGTTGTCCTACTCGCTGTTGTTATACAATCTATTACACTCACATCATGTGTAAGGTCCCTCATAGGCACGACGTGGAGCTGGCAGGCCTGAGACGGCGCGTGGCTGAAGCTGTGGCCTTCCACGATCTGTAGAACTTTGTCCTTTTCAGGGCACGCCCATACGGCACAACCTACTCTTTTTGCCATGCCAAGGAAAAATTTCTCTTTGCCTGAAAATATTTGTAAATTTTTTTTATACGTGTTCACAGAAAACAGATTGGAACAAAGCTAAAAAAATCGTCCTAACGCCATAATTTTTAGTCAAGTTCTTTGTTTTTTCGTTTTACCAGATCTTTTAACGGTTTTACATCTAGCTCACTTATGACTTTTAAAACTTTTGACTTTTATTATATTTGTTTTGAGAACCCAAGGAGTACAACAGGAAACAAATTTGACGGAATAAAATTTAACTAAAACTGTCTGAAGTTCTATAAGGGGCCAGCGTTTCTTGCAGCTCAAAAACGAGATACTGACCAACGTCTTTACCCTGCAATATGAGCCAACACAAAAATAACTATATGGTTCCAAAAATATGGTAATCACCAATAGTGTAAGTGCCGCACACAATGAGTACCGACGAGAACTTCTTCCCAACTTTCTCTAATGCGAGTTTCTTCTGTCGCAGATAGTACAACGCCATCTCTAGGCTTTGATCTTGTGTTGGAAAGTCGTAGCGGGGATTGCAGTAGCTGCAACAAGTGAGAATAACTTTCTTTTTTATTCATTTATTTATTGAGATTCGTCAGCAATTGTTACATCGATACATCTACATTTTACATAAAGGTGTTTAGCTAGACGCACAACAATTTAAGGAAGAACACAGCTTGCATTAAATTGAGCAGAATAGTCTTAATATTACAGTGTATTATACAAAGAAAAAAGAACAAACTGAATACAACGATAAAATGTGATAATCAGAATAAAAATATACATCCCAAATGTAAAGGTTTAATGTAATATAAATTTTTGCAATATATCATATTAACTTATTAAAACATAGGCATTGACCTACCAACAAACAGGGATAAATTTAGCAACTAGTTTGTGCAACGGCAATGTTGACATTAGGTAGGTACTATCAGGAAAGTCCACGCGTAATTAGTGATTGCTACTGAAAAGTGGCGCACGCGTGTCACGACTGTGTACTTCCAGACTTCTTAGTGCCCAGTTACACGATGCGAAACTTGTCGCGCGGCTGCTGCGTGGTGTCCACCCAGTTATCACGTTTTCACGTACATTAATGGCGAATCTGAATTGTATTCACTAGGCAACAACATTTAAATTCCTCGGAACAATACAACCGCGCGGTCGCCGCGTAGACCAAAGACAAGCCAGTCTCGCCCGCGCGCAAGTGGCGCTCATTTAAGTTAAAACGTAAAAGCTAAATAAATAGAGCGTATTTTGCAATGACAGTTAAATGCACACGGTCACTGTGCGGCAGCCACGCGGTCTCCACGCGATGAAATTCGTGTCGAATAAAAACACGCCCTTAGGGAGTCACCACACTTGTTAACGCAGAATCGCATTAAGTCTGTCTGAAAAAGCTTTATGGCCATGAACGTAAGAGCGAAAAAGACGTGCGTTTCACATCAGTTCACACGAACGCGTCTCGTCACTGGTCGGCAACGAATCTGCTTTCTGCCAAATCGCGTCTGGACGCATGCCGACGACAGCTAATCTTGGTTTACAAACAACGGTCATGTTAACGGTGAATCGGCTTAACGCGACAAGTATGGTTAAATACAATCGCAGCAAGACGAGTCCGGTGTTTGGTGACTCCCTTACGATTCTTTTTGCGTGCAAGCAGCGGCGGTCAGTAATGGCCACTCGTAGCGTGCTAATTCTTATCAACCAAAAGGGCTAGATCGTATTTTTATTACAAACAAAAGTATTCATAAAGAAAATAGGGTCAACAAAAAAGGGACGCGGATAGCTACAATCTGCGCTTGCAAACAAAGCTATTTTAGGATTGGAAAGGACTTTAGCGATAATACTTAAGCATTTTGTTATTATTTATATTTGAGAGTAAATACGTAATAAATATAGTTTTTAGTTTAAAAAAGTTATTAAAGCAAATATCTTTGCCACTGCATATACTTTACGTCTTATTTACATTACAATTGGAAAAGTTTATAATCGAGTGGTATATACAAAGAACTCACGTTGTGTCAAGGTAAATTGTACTTATATCCTTATTCCAGAAGACAGGGTAGGATTCCATTGCGGGCGAAGCCCTGAAGTCTCCTGTGTGCAGCAATGTTTTGCCGCTACTCAGCGTAAACAGGAGCATTATAGCGCCAGGACAACTGGGGATAATAACAATAAAAATATGCCAAACAATCACACCAGGGGGTCTACTTTCGTTCTCCGTCCGACATCCATCCGAAATAATTGCTGTTATAATACTCGACCAAATGAAAATACAATGTCAAGCATGAAGCATCATCGCATCATACATAGGTCTTTTCTAGTCTTTTTGGTCTAGTATTACTTATATGACAGCAATTGATTCGGATAGATGTCGGACTGAGAACGGGAGTGCACCCCCTGGTCTCAATGTACAAAATGTTTAATATTGAGGACCCAGAATACCATACCAGCAGCCACACTACCACAAACCTTAATTAAAACCAAAATTAAAGGCACCCTTAATGTCGGAAAACCGATTTTCCGTGTCGTCGAAATACTTCAAATCGTCATTTTTGGGCTCACTTCACATTACAGAAATACCATCAGGAATCACACAGCCGTGTGCTTTATCGCCTGAGAATAGAAAGTAATTGCAACTTACTGATTGGCGTCCACAGCAGTCACCTCAACACCGTCGAGAACGATCGGCTCGTCGAAATTTAACACGTAGAGGTACCTACTGTTCACGCCCAGACGCGACTCACAAAGTTCAGCTGTTAAAAAAAAAACAAGAGTAAAGGAGTCACCACGGTCATCGATCAAAAAAGCTTTATATGAGCGACATACATATGAACAAAATAATCTCAGTAAAAAACCGACCTCAAAAGTTCGTGGATTTGCATCTATTTGCTAAATTTTATTGAAATCAGCTACCGGAAAGAGCACGAAAAAGGATTCATCCCCTAGCTTGCCACCCTTAGAGGTGGAATATTGTCTTCAAATTTAAATGGGACCAATACTAACATAATCCTCTTTCCAACAAAAATGAATCATCAAAATCAGTTCACAAAAAAGAAAAAATACAGTCGAATTGAGAATCTAATACTTTTTTTAAATCGGTTAAAAAGGCGTGCGTTTCGCATCGGCGGTTCAAGCGGAAGCAAAATGTACAACATATTACATGGACATAGTTTTTTTTTTGACTGGCTTAAGTCGATTCCGCTTTAACAAGTGTGGTGACACCCTAATAATAAAAACGCAATACCTCTTTAAAAACTGCAGTGATCGCTGATGATCTTGGAACTTAGGCACTTCTTGTACCTAGCCACAGATATAATCTCCCCTATGCCAGTTTTTAACAAGCGACCTTTCATTTTTTAAAGGATGAATAAAGTTTTGTCGTCTCGTATTGTAAAAACTCACTTTATTTGACAGTTACGTTAACGACATCTTCATTCTGACGTTAATCTTCATCATATTTTCCTTAATCTACTTACCACCTTCAAAAACCTTAGCAGTAACCCACAGAACTAATCGATTTCAATTAGAATCAGCCGGACTACTCTATACCAAATTTACATGTTTTTTTAAATACAGAGTGCTAGTTACCTAACTACACTACTCTAAAAAGTTGTTTGGTATCCACAAATGTAGGAGCAGTAGAGCTCCTTGTGAAAGACTTTGTCCAGGGAAGTACTGCCACCTTACCTACTTCTGCCGCCAAGCAGTAACGTCGGCATTACAGTGTTCCGGTTTTGAAGGGTAAGGGTGCTGGTGAAATTACAGGCACATGGGACTTGTCAACTTATGTGTCTGGGTGATGGGCGCAGTGACAGTGCCTCTCAGATCTTTGCAATTTTGAAGCTCTGAGTGGCACTGCAACTGTTATGGACAGGCGTGTAACTTACCATCAGGCGCACAACTTGTTCGTTACGTCACTTGAAAATTAAATATAATAATACGACTTGATAAGGTTTTCAATCAAGTCAATTTCATATAACTCTGCAGTATAGGTAATGAAAGTATTTTTTCAGATCTATATTACGTATATTTTTTTTCAAACAAACTAACGTTTCGAGCCCTTTACAGGTTCCATATTCACAACTGACCAAGATGGTAAAGTCATCAACCAGTTATGTCAAATATTAATGCAAATAGCTACAGTGAAAAGTGTGGTTTGCATTAATATTAGACATAACTGGTAGATTACTTTGCAATCTCAATCAGTGCAATGGGTCCTTTCTTTATAATATCAAGTGACAGGACGAACTAGTCGTGCGTCTGGTGTTAAATAATACGCCTGTCCATAACAGTTGCACTGTCACTCAAGGGCTTATAAGTAGCAAAGATCTGAGAGGCACTGCCGCTGCGCCCGTCACCCTGATGTGTAAGTTGACAAGTACCGTGTATCTGTACTTACACCAGCACGCTTACCCTTAAAAACCGGTACGCAGTAATGCTTGACGGCAGAAATACGTAAGGATCCGAAACGTTTGCTTGTTTGAAAAAACATATAATATACGCGATTTGGGCCCAAAAAATAACAATAACAATCACGAAAATCTAGGAACTCGACAACTCACCAGTAATTTTGGAACAGTACAAAGCTTTGTTGAACCCTTTCTTGAGTCCCGCGTAGTGGTCCGAGTGGAAATGGGTGAGAAAGTAGTACTTCACCTGCGGTATGTCGCCGTAAGAGAAAGCGTCCACTGCGAAATGGGTGCCTTAAAAAATAATTATTTCATAGAGTATTTAACTCTGGACCGAAAAAGAGAAAGTTAAATTTGCCCCAATTGTCATAAGTGTGATGAAATTAACGAAATGTTTAGTGTTTATGTGAAGTGGTTGAAAATCTATTTGGAAGATTTTTTGTTACGAACCCAGCTAAATTAAACATGGTAAAGTACATGTTGAAGGGTGAATTTTAAACGAACTTTTTCTGTTTGAGTTTAATTTTGAAAGTTTTGAAATGTTGGCCTTCAAATAAGACGCTTTTATTCTCATATTCTGCGAAAGTGGCATGACTGTGGCGCTGCAGCTGTGGTTCTAAATATTGTATGAAAATCAGTAGAGCCAGGGCTGCAGCACCGCAATGGCGCCACTGCAGCTCTAGTATAAGTGTCTAATTTGAAGATGCCCTAAGTGTAAAACCAAAAAGTACAACGAATACATGAATAAATATACAAGTTTTATTGCAATATGTACCTGCAATTATCTTAAAATGGGGTATTCTCGGTGTCGTCGCTGTTCTGTTCGTACGTATTTTTGCTGATAGGCTGAACTGCATGGGGTCTACATTCTTTCTCGGAGACTGCGACTGTGAAGTGTCACCGTGAAACCGCTGCACCTCAGAAGTTTGGCTTCTGCTGTTCTGTGGTCTTGCGGACTCTGTTTTTGGAACGATAGTTTTGGGTTTCGGCGATCCATCTTCCTTCCTCGATATGTACGAGCTTCGACTCAATTGGCGTTCGCCTTTTAAGGTATCCGCCACACCTAGCCTTCTGCTCATATCATCACACACATTACCACATGGACCACTCTGCGCCACGAGCGTCTCCTGTACAACTACAGCACTATCAGTATGCCTAATAAAGTAAGTATCAATAGTCCTTTGTTTCAGACCACAACGCGCCGACGTCACATTTTTTACTCCTCTTGTTTTCGTAAAGCTCTTTTTGAATTTCCTCCTATCGGTAATTTGTCTTTTCACTAATTTGTAATTTGGTGGTTGAACTATGACGTGAGACAGCCTTTCGATGGCATCTGTATTTAAAATTAGAATTGAGTTCTCTTCAGACTTTTGCTTTTTTATTTCTAAGTTGACAGATACAGCTAATTTCTTTGGTGGGCTTGGAGATTCGTTTACTTCATCATCGCTTTCTAATTCTTTAATAGTATAATCTTCTATCATTTCACAATCAACTACGGTAATATTATCCTTATGAGAAATTTCGATATTCTTTATACTGCTACGCTTTGTGCTGACATTCACTGTATCACAGTTTATGACTCCAAAGGATACGGAAATGGCAGGTGTTGAATTTACTTCATATACAACAGTGCTTTTGCTATGGTCTAGTAAATTTTGATCAATTTCAGTAGCAGAAGAAACCGTTATTAAAGATTTGTTGCGATTCCTAAGATCATCTTCTTTATTTGTTCCTGTATTTACACAAGCAACTATGTCCTGTGTTGAGGAATGTTCTAGGTCTTCAAAAGAGAAGGGACTAGACGCTGCGTAGTTTTTAACCGAGTTTAAGTCTTCAATAGCTGAAAACCCAATGCTGCATTCATCGATGGTTTTTTGTTTTTGTACTTTATTTGGCTGTATGTTCTGTGCGTTTTGAAAGTTTTCTTTGTCAATTCTTTTAGTGTTCTGCGTGAAGATCTAAAATAAGATGCAAGTTCTTTAAGCAGCAAATTAACTTAGATTATAACAAAGTGCAGAGGAGCATTCAATGCGGTTTCAGTATCTACAAAATAAAAACCATGCCTCTCGCTTATCAAAATGCATACTAAAAAAATTTAAATTGTCTTAAGAAAAAAACCCATATTAGTATTTCCCACAGGATGAAAATCTTCAGAAGCAGGGAAAGTGAATCCCCTGGTTCCAACAGGACTTTCATTTTTGTACTTTATAAGTGCTCACATAAATACACTATAGATATTTTAATACATTAGTAACTTGTGACTAAAATAAGAAACAAATAATGAATAAAGGAAAAATAACATGCAATAAAAATTGACAAAAACAACTTGCATTCCAAAATTTATTTGCTATATACTTATTGTTGTGGATAAATTTATAAAGTGGAATGTCTATATATAAGTATAGCAATCCTTGCTTGCAGTCCTCTGCAAATCACAAATAAGAGAGTAGAGAATGTTAGAGAACTTACTTGTTTTACTTTCTTTGGTGAATTTTTTACATTATTCTTTCTCTTTCTTATTGAAAGAGAACAACGACTCACAATCGAATTCTGTTGAGAAAAAATATATAATATTGCATAACTATGCACAATATCATTCCGCTTATCCTAAAAAGTATCTTAATTATTAGGAACTAAAACATGAAATGGATAATGTATAAACTCACAAACAATCCGGCAAGAAAGTAGGCATGGAGAGGTCTTTAATCAATGATTATTTATTGATTTATTTAGTGCTTACAAAGTAATTATCATAAAAGGAAAATGTATGTATATGAAGGTATAAACAAAATCACAATATAAAACTATCCAAGCTATCGTCTCATCGAAAACCGCAACCCACATACTGCTGAATTACGCCACTGATACAAAGCGCCAAAAACACATACGCAGTTTACTTGTATTTAATCCATGAAAAGGACATACGCTACCAGACTCAGACATCATAGGGCACACAACATTATACATACCTACATAATTATTAGAAGTCACAACTATAGGTACTTATTACATGTAGATATAGCACCTTGAATAATAAATTGACGATATTTGAAATTAAATTGTTTTTTTCTTAAGAAATGCTAAGGCTAAAAGTGCTAAGAATAAACGGGCATATATGAAGAGACTGATAGGAGTGGAGGAAGCAAGGGAGATTTGTCATGAGAGTAGCAAGTGGAGGTGTATAGGCTCTCTGGTGGGAGACAGGCATGATGATATTCACTCATCCGAAGAACAAAGTCTAATGTGATTATACTGCAAAAAAAGGATGGTACATGAGCTCATTATTCAAACTAAGACCTATCTTATAAAATTGAACAGTGGTCAATCTGACATACACAGTGAAGAACAACAAACAAAATGTAAAATGTTCTGAGAATAAGCAGTCTTGCACATAGGTCTTTGTTTCAAATTGAGTCAATATGTATGTAAAATTTTTGGGAATTTACAAAACAGATTATTTTTAATGACACAAAAAATATCCAGTCTAGCCCGTCTATCACTTCTTTCAAGAAAAGGTTTAAAGCGCACTTTCTTGCGGAACTATCTTAGTAATCATCTTATTGTGTTTTTACTTATTGTACCTGTATGTACATATTACACTATTTACATATTGATGCTATTTATTATTATTCATTACAATGCTTATGCAAGTAACTGTATTTTTTTTTATTCATGTCCTTTATTTATATTTATAATATTTCTTCCACACTTTCTCTTGCATGCTATGGCCCGCTTATAACCTTAGCTCTCACTGCCCTGGGTTGGCTGGAAGAGATCTCTTTTAGAGATAAGTCCACCTTTGCTCACTTTCTGTTAATCTAATATTTCTGATGTATCTTATTCGGTGCAATAAAATATATATATATATATATAAATCACAACTATATAAAAAATAGTACCGTTTGGTATGTAGAAAGACATAATTGTGCTCAATTACATTATTACATGCTTAAAAAAGAAAATGCACTCCCGGATTCATAATTCGAACCACCCCACCTTGCATTTTTATCCTTAAAAGGCTAGAATATCAAAACATAGTTATAATTGAAGAAAAAGTTTTCTTTGGCTTCTTAAAATTAAAATTTTCAATGACTTATGGAAACACGTTTAGTATACCAGTTTGCAAGTTACCTCATAGTTCTTGTCATTTAATATTGAAAATGCAAGGTGGCTTAAATTATGTGTCCGGGAGTATATATTATGGATTAACGTGACAAAGGGATTAAAGTGACATTTGTGGAAAAACAACATTTTATTCAAATTTCAAGAAAAGTGCCATCTTGTGTGCTGAAAAGATTCACTAATTACCATGGTAAATAAATAAACCAATGGACACCAGCGCAAGTACCAAGTAAATAAAACATAATTGATCACATACTATGTGCAAGTAAAAAAATATTTACATTATTGCTATATTTTGAATATTTGTCTGTTTATTTTGACAAATTATGGTTGCTAATTCAAAAAATATAGTAAATTATTTCTATAGCAAGTGTGCTAAGAATATACACACCCCAGTCTTAGATTATAAGTGCGGATACAAACAGTAAACTCATTAATTACCTATTTTTTTTTTTTCAATTCATATTATTTGCTCTATATACAAGGTAAATATTAACTGTAAACTTAAAATCATTTTTGTAATGTAAAAAAATGTAATCTGTGTGTTTTTTTGGACATAACATTTGACACAATTGAATACTTCTTGTATACAAACACACAGCATGAGGTTGAGCAGCAGCATGTTGTTATTGGAATTAATATTATTCATATCAAAATTGTTATTGTGATAATTGAAAATGATAAATTATTTTAAAACTTTTAAGAGATAATGTATCATTATCAATTATCATAATAATAACATATCTTACGTGTAAAAGATCATTGTTTGTTTTTTTTAGTCTATTTTGTCCATTTCACGAAAAAATTTACTTTTCGAATTTGGTCAGTTTATTATTGAGGGTGTGATATGGTAAAGGAAAATATTCTCCCTACAAAGCTTTATCGCTTCAGACCTTGGAGTATAATGCTTCTTCTTCTTCTTCTTCGTCTTCTTTTAAATGTTATGGCCCCATCGAAGTAATCGATGATAGACTTTTAAAGTAACTTTAGTTCAAATTAAATTTCAAAAGTTTACTTGTCAGTATTCTCATATAACCACCACAAATTAGAAAGATATAGTATAACCACCGTACTTACATAAATTTTGACATAAAACTTCAAATGAAAGCCAAAAAAATTGGATTTTATTCCAGATAAAGCAACATTAAACAGTTATAAACAATAAATATACTAAAAAACAGGTTATTTAACGCAATTGAGCTCACTTGTGTCAATGTAAGGTCTCCCGGCTGTTTTTTTATTCCTCTTGGGTTTAATATAGACGGCAAATAATCATTAATGTCATAATTATTCATTTTCCATTATTATTTCTCTTTCTATAGATTACAATTCACAAAATTTATCTCATACAAACACCACATCAAATCCACTCAACTGAACACTATACTCACATCACACTCACATACACAGAACACTATACTCACAAGGAGTCTCACGTATCATTCTAATTCAATTGGTTTTTTTAAGAGTTTTGGCATGGATATAAGTTCTTTGAGCCATGTCTTCGTTTAAATTATCCGGATCCTCAGTAATATTTTCCATTGTGTTTCTAATACATTATGTTTTCACTATATAATATAACTTAGTTCACTTATTTGGGTTTTTTAAATAGTCTTATGCGGCGGGAGTCAATATTTATGTTTTCACTTTTACTTAAATCTAAGCTTAAATCACATTACCTTCTATCACTTTGAACAAAAACGTTGAATTCGTAATTATTGGAATTTTTAGAATAAAATCTTTTGTAATTTGGTTTAAAATAAGAAATATAGTTCTAACTTACTTCATCACTATTTCTTTCTTCGTTTTTTCTTCATAATATACCTACAATAATAACGTCGCGTCGGGGTCACCACTTTAAAAACTTAAGTGGGTGGTCCTATTAACCACGCGGATTTAACGTGCTCACTATGGGGATTCCAGGTAAAGTCAAAACTCCGTTATAATTTTGTTGTCACACTTTTATTGTTTACTGCCAAATAGTATGCGGTACAAAACAATTAGAAGATTTACACAGATTTATTCGGAACTATTTATGGCTAGGAATATTGCTGGAATCGTTCGAACCGGGCGCGCGACGGGCGATGACTGGCTGCGCACACGCGGAGGGCTGAAAACGTAACGTCAGCACATGAGGGACACATCTTTATAAACGCTGTACTTGTAACCTCAAATGGCCGCCTTTATCTTCATTCTACAATGTAATTGGTGCACCATACAAAAGTACTACTACTAGTTGGTAAAAAATATCGATATCGATTTATTTTTTCAGTTGCTCATCCCTAGTCCAAAGACAAGCATACACACAAGATTGGATTCGCTCTGGGCATTTTGGAGGGAAAAGTGTAGTTTTAATTTGACTTTCAATTATTTTGTGAAATGTTGTTTAAAGTGGAATAGGATAGTACCATAGTGCCTTAATCGAAGATTAAAACGCGAAATTATACGAATCTCGAACTAAAATACCCGTATCCCGAGTCAATCCAAGCACGCCGCCTCAAACTGCCTATCCTCTTTGTGGCAGCTATATTTAATTTTACAGAAACATAATTAAACGAAGACATGGCTCAAAGACTTATATCCAAGCCAAAATTATTAATAAAAAAAACACAAGATTATTCCCTAAACGGTAAAAACTAATCGGAGAATTTTTTTATCGGTTTTCTAGGCATAATAACATTTCTGGTACTGCTAATGTTTTTATTTGTACTCTTCAGAATCCAATAATGAAAAGCGCCTAGAGAAGTGCACTGCTCGTGTTTCCTACGTTACAATTGTTTTAACTTGCACATTTGTTATCAAGAAAACATTCTTACCGGTTGCGGTAGAAATTACTTTTTATATCATACTAAGTGTGCTTTAATATAATAAAAAGTTTTACCGAAGCGAATCCAACGCGAGCAATTTAATATTGTATCCAAACATTATTTGTAGTAAAAAGACACACGTCAGTTCTAAAAGTTATTGCCATTTTCTAACTATCACCTTTAGAATTTGGAGATTACCAAAGTGGAACTTATTCAAAAAAATTGCAGTAATTAAATAGTAAGTACTGTTCAATTAAAACCACGTTAATTTACACACTTCATTTGTTTTATTTATTTCTAGCACTTTTCATATTAATAACCTATGGTGTGATGCTACTTTGATTTTTCACTTATTCCTTTTAAGTTGCATTAAGAATCGTGGCAAATTATTTTATTATTATGGCAAGAAAAATTAGTTCGACGTTCATTTTCAAAGGGAGTGTGTTGTGCGGATAATCTGATTAAATTTTTCCAAGTCATTTATGAAGAGTTAAAGAGTTTCGTCTGCTAAATATCTCAACGGATAATTCTGGACTTTAGCTGAACGTAAGTGTACTGTACTAATCATATTTTGTTGTTATGTTAGGTTAGAAATTGCATATAATTTCTGCTGTCTCTCTAATAATTTTTCAATATCAGCTTATTTTTTAGGGGCTGAATGAGGCTTTTTTTTGTTTTAACAACGCTCAACTGTGTATTTTTGTTTTGCTGTGTAATTTCAACAGTTACTAACGTTACACTTGACTGAACCAAATAATCAATATTTTCTGGAGAAGATTATCCACGCGAATTTTTAAACGATTAGCATTTATTTTTATTAAATATTATATGTCTTTATTTTTCTCGTAACATACCTATACGTGATAAATTCTAGTTGTTTTGTTTTTAAAACTACTATGTCAAATTCATGTAACTTTTATTTCCACATAGGTTTTTTTTTTGTGTGCATTTTATTAGCATTTTATATCCATTTAATATTTTACGTAATTTTCATATGTATTAGAAAAATGTATTTATTACTTGAATGATTTTCCACTATCCAACAAGGTGAAGAAAGAAAAGGCATAATATGAAGTAAAAAGTGCCACAGATAATAAATAAGGAGTTTATTACAAAACTGTTTGACACACATACTGAAAAGAAAAATGGCTGGCACAAGACGAGCTCGCAATCAGGCTTCTATGGCCATACCTCGTCAGAATTCCACAGAGAATGGAAGGCCTCGCCAGAATCTGAGTGCTGAAGCATTGGCAGCCATGAGCAAGGAGCAGCTGCGAGCAGAATGCAGGAAAAGAGGACAACGAGCAACTGGCAACAAAAATGAGCTGGTACAGAGCAGTTTGAGTTTGCGTCTGTGCTTTGTTTTTACTTTATAATTTGCCGGCTGTGTTGTGATGCTTTGTTTTTCTTTAATGTGTAGTTGTGTTTAATGTCTGGTTTTCAACCAGTAAAATTTTACATTGATTTGTAAATGTTTTGTAAATATAGAACACTGTCTGTTAAAAGCACTTTTATTTTTTTTATCAATATTATTTACAAGCCTATATGACTGATAGATGAGACTGATAATCCAGTAATATTTAGCTAGTTAGAATTTATAGTACAATTTTATCATAGTAAATCAATATTTATAACGTTCAGTGCACCTTATCTATGTAATATATTAAAGCATTGCATCATTTAATTTGCTTGATTTATTAGTATTTTTTATTTGGCAACTAGACAATTATTTAATATATTTTTTGTTTTATTTATTTATGACTTAGTTTAGCAAACTATTGAAAAATTTGTTAGATAACATTTATTTATGTTGTCATTACCATAGATAAAACTAAATGTTATATAGAGTTCTTAGATTTTCACGACTGTTACACATAGGAAATGAAAGTATTTTTCCGGATTTAATTCGCGTATCGCGTATATTTGTTTGTGAAACAATATTTTGTTTCACAAAAGAAACAAATATGCACAAAAGTAAACATAAATAAACAAATATATATAGAAAAAACAAATATACGCAAATTAAATCCGGAAAAATAGTTTCATTTCTTAAATGTTATATGTTCATACTAAATTATGCCTGAACATTACACAAATAACTGTGTTTCAAAAGGGTCACATTTATATTCATAAGTCCTAACTCTTACTGGTGCTTCGCAAAGGTGCTATCATGTACCTACTTGCCTGTCACACAAGTCGCTTCCTCTACTAACACGCTAATCAAAAAGTCAATGAGTATCAATTACAGAGATTATTTAAGAAACAGATGTCTTGTTAGCTCTTAACACTTGGCATCTGAAACATTTGGCTCATTATTATTTATATTACGTTACTTCTTAAGGCAACAATCCATAAATATTTTACAATTAATTAATATATCTATAATATTTAAACACTACACACTATTACCGTAGTTTAAACTAAATACTAACCCTAACTGGCATCTTTCTGTGGCATAATTATGAAGCGGCGGAGTCCTTACTTACAATTAACGAAAATGAAAATTAGAAAAACTTACTGACAAGAGGCCTTTACAGACACAAATTCTTTAGTCCTTATAACTAAAACAACGAGGAATCTGTTGAAAAATTTTGTCAGTGCTCTGTTATAGTGTTGTTATGTTAGTTGCATCATTTTTCTAAATTGCTTCTGGTGTGGTTGCTTTGGGTGGCGCCCAAATGTTAATTTCGATAATACGTAATGATAATACGTTATTGAGAAAGACGCGTTTTAAAATTGAAAATTTCTATTTCAAGTCTCAGTTATTGGGTCTCAGATTTCTAAGGCTATACTTTTTCTAAATTTTAAGAGACTCACCACAAATCGTTAGGCCTCTATTTTTGAAAGTTGCCTAAAGTAATTCATGTGATAATATAAAGTATCATAGCCATGTAATCTAATAAGATGTGCATTTTCAAAATTCGTTTAACCGTTACTACCAGCGCAAATGAACGACAAATTGCCAAATTTGCGCATCGTAGTAAAGAATTGGCCAAATAGTGTATGAAGTATCAAAGTATAAATGAAAAACATTAAAAAATATATAAAATCAAATTTTAATCTATTTTGTATGGGCCATGTTGATTTGCAATCTTTTGCCATCTTTCAAATAATTTTAAAATTCTAAATGACGTTTCACGGTCTCTTTGATATTAAAGTTTGATATCAAAGCCATTCAAAGAATTTTGTAAAGACCGAAAGGCTACGTCGGGCGAATACGGTGGATAGAGCCTACTACTACTATGCTTACGACGTATTTTATATGCGCCGACGACGTGCGGATGACGCGCGTTAACGCGATTCAAACGCGATGCAGTCGCATCGAGTACACCTTTGCACACATTCACAAATTCACCGTAAACACGCGACATCTGCGCGTTTACACGCTGTTGTCGCGCGGATGTATCGCGCATTTGGATAAAGGGATAGTTTTAATTTTAGTTTCGTTTGTTAATTTCAATTAAGCGACTAAAGAAATATAAGACCACGCATACTGCGTCTTTTTAAACATATCTTAAAATTAGATTTAAGAGAAATCTTTAGTAACTGTACTAAATTATTACTTTTCGTTTTTGTGTGTTTATTTTACATGCATTGCACTAGACACGATGTGTGAAGGGATTTAAAAATCACAGCAAAAGTTGTGTTCAACATGAAATTCTAAGTGTAAACTCTAGTGGGGTATATAAGCTTGTTGCTTGCAACGCGATGTTTGCGCGGGATTGAATCGATTCAAATGCGCGTAAAACGCGATACAGTCGGGCTTCGAACGCGCTTATCGCGATGTCTGTATCGTGTTTTACGCATTTGAATTGATACAAACTCAACAATCTGCTCGATAGAGCCTCTACGGCGCTGTGAACGTTCGTTCGTGAAACGCGCGTATAAAATACGCCGCGTGCATAGGCTCTAACTAAGGTAACACATCTCAACTTAACTGCAATACTTTTTGATGGTTTTGTAAATTCATTAATTATAAACTCAAAACTGTCCCGCCTAATTTTAAAATGCGTGCTGAATTATTACTTTTGAAAGGCCCATAGATAATATAACATTTTAAAAGAAAAACCTCTTTTTTGTTTGCCAAAAATTCCGAGTGGTTTTTGCCACTAGCCATGTAACTAGCTAGTGGCAAAAACAGCTAGGATTTATTTGGCCAACCCATTAAAATATTATGCTTACATAATTTTCTTTATTTTATGTTTCTGATCAGGAATATTTCATTTAATTCTTGTTTTAATAAGCAGTATGTTATTTGCGTCTCGGTTCGTTGGCACGTAAATTTACATTGCTACGAGGTGATGGTAAAAATACGGTCTTTGTTTCAAATCTGAGAATAAATTCAGTGAAGGTCTAATTTAAAACAGTTTTTGTTATTTAACTTTGTTCTTTTGTTCGAAGAGAATTCTTAAAATACGAATAACGTTTGATATTAGACTATTCGTACCGAATTTTTTTCTTTCAATGCTTAAGCAGTTGCTTAATCAATTCTCTCGAAGCGTTTTGCTTCTAATTCTATAAGGGCACAGCTAAGGAATGGAACTTTGTTATGGTGTATATATCCCGGACGATTCAAACTGGATTTTTTAAAGGCCAGATTAAACTGAACCGTGTTCTAGACGAGTATCTATCGGCTACATTCACATCTTTCACTTTCGATCAGGTGAAACTGTGGGCAATCGTAAGCCTCTGAAGTAAAAAAGAAAAACCTGTTTTATAATTATCATCTAATAATTTGTATAATTTTAAGCAAAACAAATAAACTATATTTACGTATCTAACGTTGTAGTAACACGTACCAGTATATGCAAAATTCAACACAATGACATTTTTATACGATATAATTTACAATGGGTTTGTTTTCGGGTACCGATGTCGGACTTGCTTTAGTCGAAAGCGTGCTATACATTATAAATAATAATATAAATACGGTATAATTTACAATGCGTATTTACGTTCAATTCTACCTTTTTCTTTCACTGTGTTACCATGAAGGCTGGCAGAATATCAACCACGCCAGGGCTACTTAATACATACTCCTTAGTAGCTGGGCCATATACGAATGGTGGTTTGTTAATATTATTATTTAGTATTGTCCTTTTTTATTGTTGTTTTTTCGTTGTTTTTTCGTGTACATATATATAATTATTAAATTAATTTAAATAATCCCGGACATAGACTATTTCTGCTCTAATTGAATTTCATGTACAGTACAATAAAAAAAAAGTTGATAACAAATTAACAATTTCATCCTTGTGTATGACTCAGCTACAGAAGGTATTCTGGACATAGCGATAAAAGATATAGTCTTTTAAAGCCTAATAAAAAGACTACTCTAAAATTACGATTGGAGATTCTACTTTTTATTATAAGATTCGATCGTTATCTAACAGACACGACTCGACTCCAGTGTTTTAAAAAAAACTTGCACCTTAGTTGTGCATACTATTCGGAAACAGTTATAATTAACCGTTTGGTGTATATACGACATACATTTCAACTTGTATCTAGTTGTAGGAATATTTGAATGACAGTAACAAAATATAAGTCGTAACCTGGTATAGTTTGATATACTTGGTCAGCGTTTCTAGTGAATTACAATTCACTGACCTTTATGTGGCCCCAATAAAAACTACACCAAACTTGATATAGTCATCCTGTTCACCTCCCTCACCACATAATCTCATATTTTAGAACAAAACGTATGGCGCAAATTAAAAGAACCCTGCATTTCGGGATGACTTGTAAAATAGCCATTGTCAACATAATCATTTTTATTTGAACTTCGATAACAATTGAGATATTGTGTCTTACAGAATAATAATGGGTGTAATACATACAATATAAGGTCCTAATTCATTCGTTAGCATCTTTTTGAGCGCGTTCCTTCCGTTTTTTTTAAAAACAAAGAGTCACCACACTTATTGACACGGAATCGCATTAAGTTGGTTAATAAAATCTTTATGTCCATGTAATAAGAGCGGTTATTGCATGGATAAAAATCTCTTTCTAGCTGGCTCAAGCCGATTCCACATTAACAACTATAGTAACGTTGGTACATAACAAGTGGAGAGTCAGAATGGCAGGTGTATCTTAACGGATCCTGACAAATTGAGTATCCAAAAATATACCTAAATTGTACTATTTAGTACCTCTGTTTAAAAAATTTGTGCATCTATCAGAACTAAGTTATAGCAACATCAAAGGTACAACCGCCGTATTGACAGTCAATGCGGCGTTCATGACATATGAAAACTATATAAGAACAGGTGCTTGTCACCTTCTCCATCAAAACAAGGAAAGATACTGACGAAGAGGCTGTATGGTG